AAGTGTTTGTCTGCCAAACATTTATATGTATTACTCGACCGCTATATGAATGAAGAATTGGATGCAATCATTGGTCGCAACAATTGTCACAACAATTGCCACAATTGTCCGCATTTCACACCCAATGCCGACACCAATCCAATGGACACCACTTGTGATCACTTTAAAGAGAAAGCAATGGTTTTGAATAACTTATTAATGGATTTCATTTCCTGCAAACTCTTCACTATTAATGAATCGAAACAAACCATTGGTTTCTATTTGTCGACAATTGAATGGATCCAAAGTTTTGAGCAAATGGTTAATCAAAGTCTTGTCACTGTTTTCAAGAACTATTTGATGATTCAATTGCAGAGATTTGGCCGCAAAATGATTGATGACATTGAGATGAGACTCATTAGAAAACATAACTATTTGTTTCACTACTTATTCTCCGATAAGAGATCCTATCGTTTGATTGATTTCATTGAATCCAATGCCAAAGAGTTTGAAATTAATGTCATTCAAAACAGTAATGATTGCAAACGTGTGGACACTTATATTGATGTCAATTCGGATCTGCTATCACTTGAAATGCGTCTAAATCTTCAATTATTTTATACATTTGGCGAAGAAGTGAATGGTTTGATCGGAAAAGTGTATTATTTGGACAAATCGTTGGTTATTGTATCAAAAGTGGCCGAAATAGACCCACAAAACGATATATTCTTCAAAATTACAACAAATGATTTGAAGATCTTTTGTCAATGTTATGAGAATTGGATAATCGATCTGTTCATCCATTTGGACGATTTGGTCACATTTGATGCCAAGTTTGTCAAACAAACACCAATTGCCGACACCATTAACCCAAGACCTACTGTTGAGCCCTATTCTTGGTTTGTCACCAGAATTACAAGTGTTAGACATTCCGCCGCCTGTTATGTACCAAAAGCTCAACCAAACCGTTTCTCAACCCATATCTCCACCACTTGTTATTAACGCTAATATTTCTCATATTTTATTATATTTATCTATTATTTCATACATTTTATTCACTCTTTAAATATTTGCAATTTATTATATTTCAGTGAAATTTTGTTATTAATTTTTTATATTGTATAAGAATTTCTATTTTAAATATTCATTATATTTAGCCTAATATGCAAATACATATTGAAAGCTGTTTAAATATCGAATTGAAGTTTAAAAACTTAATAATAGTCTATATATTTTATGTTAATTTAATGTTTTACAATGTAATACAACACAAACGTCGAGTACTTTAAACCTAATACTTTTATTGTTCACATCAGTTTTATTTTATTCTTATTTTCATTAATATTTATTTATTAAGTGATATATTTTACTGTATTTGACTTAACTCTCAAATAAACATTAAACAAGAAATGTGTAATAAAATAATTTATGATCTTATTGTTTATAATTGAAATAATAAATTCAATGAATGCTTCAAATCTCATGGAAAGTATTTATATGATCGGTGAACAAACAAATCAAATGACAACCATTTATAAAATGAATTCAAATTAATTCATTATAATCGCTACAAATTCGTATAATTTATAATTGATTATTGTCAAATACAATTAATTAAATTTCAATTTAATTATCTCTTATTATAACTATTATCATGATCTCAACGATTAAAATATTAGTTTTTATGATTGTAACTTCTGTTTATATACCTATAGAACAGTACATAAGATTACAATTATAATAATGTTTTTATTAAATTGATAAACGTATTCATCGCGTAATTTGAAGTTTTATTAAATGAAAACAAAATTGTATTGAAACACAAAGTAGAAATTGTTTGAATCGGTTTCATATATCGTACTGAATTACAATTCATCACAACTAAAAACTTGTATTTTATTAATTATAACTAAAATCCTAAATTTTAATTCAATGGACAAGTTTTCGCAACAGTTCTGCGGATCACTATTTTGGGTAATTTTATGAACAATATTTGTAAAGTATATTAAATCTAATAAAATAATACATTTCAGGATTCTGACCTCATCTGGTATTCAAATACACCTGACTTTACAGTATGTTTTCAGGAAACAGCACTCGTTTGGTTTCCTTGTATTTTCTTATGGATTTGTAGTTCGTATGAAATCTACAGAATTATTAAAACACCCCATAATAATAATAATACAATTCCTTGGAATGTATTAAATGTGACTAAAATTGTGAGTTTATTTATATTTTTCTCAATATATTAGTTATTCATAGTATAAAACATACATGTATCTAATTTAATGAAAATCTAATATAGTACTTTTATTCACAACTGTTTAAAACCCTTTAAATTTGGCATTAGATTTATTTTTGTCACTTAAAAACTAATTCTGATTAATGTTTACATATCTATCATTGAATTGTTTAATTTAATATTGGATTTGCCTTAAATTCACTTAAAATACATTCATTTAACTTTATTTTGAAAAAAGTATTAAAAATACCAATTATTTTAAATATGTTATTTATATTTGAAAATATTTCAGACCAAACATTAAGAAAAAGCATTCAGTGAATGCCATTCACTATTATATCAAAAACTTCAGCTATAAAATATCCACAAAACCTCTCTTTCTCTTACACCTCTTATTAACTAAATAAAATTAAGATTATTAATTGTTGATTAATTTGTATATTTAATTCAAAAATTAATTTTTCTTAAATACATTTTTTATTTTAATAGATATTATCAAATATATTATTGATATTAAGTTTGTGTGATTTAATTTATGGATTTATTTCATTAAATCGTTGGCCGGAAACAACATATCCAGTCATTTATATCACTTCTATTATTAAAACAATTTCTTTCGTAAGTTTTAATAAAATATTATTTTAAATTAAAAAATATAACATTATATATAATAATAGCATATAATGTCCAAATAGGCTGTCGTCATATTTATTCAATATTTCAGTCGTTTGCGAGGACTCAATAGATCTGTTGTCTTATTCTTGTTTTGGTTATTTATGTCAATCGCCGGAGCAGTCATTTACCGATCGCTATTTATTTTCACATTCGCCGATGTATTTCATACTTATTCTTAATTATATATGAATTAAATTATATTTAAACTAAACATATAAATGTCTTTTCTATATATAAGGGAAAATATGATGGGATAACAACTGATTTTCGGTTTAGCACTAAACTAGCGTTCGTTCCCATCGTTTTCATACAATTATTTCTTTCGTGTTTCGCAGACTTTAAATCACAAAAACAGAAGCAAACAAAAGTCAGTATAAGTTTTAATATTAAAAATCAACTAATATTTGCAAACAATATAAACAATTTAAAAATAATGAAATATCTATTATATTGAGAATGAGAGCCCAGAATCGAGTGCTTCGGTGTTGTCTGTACTGACATTTTGGTGGATGAATGCAATGATACTAATGGGCTATAAAAGACCGCTTACTAAACATGATTTGTGGAAATTGGATGTCGAAAATACAACTAAATATAATTCAGATCTATTTAGCAAACGATTGAAACAAAAACAAAGTCAAAGCATTAAATATAAAGGAATTCTTATAACACTTCTCACCACTTATTGGTTTTATATGGTTTTGATGGCGGTATTGAAGTTTATTCTCAGTTTTTTACCATATGCTAATCCACTAATACTGAACTGGTTAATTGAGTATATGGGCGAAGACAGTACTGAACCCGTATGGCGAGGATATCTCTATGCAGTTCTCATGTTTATAGCACCGATGATTGAATCAATTCTCACGAGTCAATACGATTTAGGCATCGGAATCATCACTCTTAGAATGAGATCGTGTTTAACAAATGCTATCTATAAGAAGGTAGAAATTTGTGTGAAATAATGCAATAAAATCATTAATATTGACAATTGTTGAACTAATCAGAGCCTTCGATTGTCGAGTACCGGACGTAAAGACTTCACAATTGGCGAAATAGTAAATCTAATGGCGATCGACACGTCCAGAATAGTAGAGTTCGTTCAAGTGATTAACGAGACCTGGTCTTCACCCCTTCAGATCGCAATTGCATTGTATTTATTATGGCAACAGTTGGGCATCGCATCCATTGCCGGTATGCCTCACAACATAATCGTTGACAACACTTCAAAATACTTTAACATCATTTTAGACATTTTTAACCATAAAGACATTGAACACATATACAGGTTTGGGAGCAATGCTAATCCTAATCCCAATTAATGGTTATATTACTGGCAAAATGAGATCCATTACAACCAGAGTTATGTTACACAAAGACAAGAGAATCAAACTAATGAATGAAATATTGAGTGGTATAAAAGTGTTAAAACTTTACGCCTGGGAATCATCTTTTGACGATCAGGTTATGGAAAAACGAAACAATGAGATCAAACAACTCACTACAAGAGCCTACTTCCAGGGCGCTATGGTTTATATATTTAATTCGGCTACTTTTCTGGTCAGTCAAGCATTTATAATGTTAAATGTGTTTGTAATATTAAATTATTCTTTTGTTTAGGTTTCGATCACTAGTTTTACAACATTTGTGTTAATGGATTCATCAAATGTATTGACACCACAAAAAGCATTTGTCTCGCTATCACTCTTCAATCAATTGCGGTTCCCATTAAATCTATTGCCGCGACTCATCTCTTTCTATGCCATGGTTTGTGTCATAAATAATTTTAATAAATTGTTATATTGTTATAAAGTTAACTAAATCTAAAAACAAAACCATTTTTCAAATAAAATAGTTTTCTGTTTCAATAAAACGTATTAATAAGTATATGTCCGGCGATGAGATCGACTCGCAGTCCATTTCACACGACATGAACAACAAAGACGCTATTGTTGTGGAAAACGCGTCCTTTTCGTGGACTAAAACAGATAATCAGACACTTTCTGATATATCGATGACTGTTCCCAAGAATAAACTAATTGCAATCGTCGGTCAAGTGGGCGCTGGAAAGTCATCGTTATTACACGCATTGTTAGGCGATATGTTTAAATTGAAAGGCAATATCAATTTGAATGGCAGTATAGCATACGTTCCCCAACAGGCGTGGATCCAAAACGCAACTCTCAGACAGAATATCATTTACACCAACCCTTTAGATGAGAAAAAACTAAATAAAATTATAGATAATTGTGCTCTCATTCAAGATTTGGAAATACTTCCCGGAGGAGAGACCACTGAAATTGGAGAGAAAGGCATCAATTTGTCCGGTGAGCATCTCGTCATATAATTAATAAAATCAATAAAAATTATATTTATAATTACGCAAACAGGCGGTCAAAAGCAAAGAGTATCGATGGCGAGGGCCTGTTATTCAGACGCTGATGTATACCTTTTAGACGACCCGTTATCTGCTTTGGATGCAAATGTAGGCAAACATGTCTTTGATAGAGTCATTGGACCCAATGGTATGCTTAAGAATAAGACAAGAGTTCTGGTAACGCATCGCATATCAGTTTTGTCAAAATGTGACCAAATTATTGTCATGAAAGACGGTTTCATTTCTGAATTCGGATCTTATAAGCAATTATTGGAAAATAGAGGAGATTTTGCAGAATTTCTTATGTCTCACATCAATGAAGGAAACAGTCAAAATGTGACCAAATTATTGTCATGAAAGACGGTTTCATTTCTGAATTCGGATCTTATAAGCAATTATTGGAAAATAGAGGAGATTTTGCAGAATTTCTTATGTCTCACATCAATGAAGGAAACGATGAAGAGATGGATGAGGAAGAGATGCAACTCATTGATGAAGTCGTCACAAGTGATAGTATTCATAGGCAAAGGTCGAGGACTAAGAGCTCCGATAGTTATTCTAAAGGCTTGGAAAGGAGACGAACGCAGAGCAATGCATCCAAAGTATCGAAAGTGAGTGCAAAACAAGAATCGGACAAAACTTTGGAACAAAAACTTAAGAAAATGTCAAAACTAACGGAAGCAGAGAAGTCAGAAACGGGTTCAGTTAAGTGGAGTGTGTATTGGGCTTACTTCCAGAGAATAGGGCTCATCGGCACGTGTGCTATACTCGTCTCATACATCGCTTCCAGTGCTTTCAACGTAGGGTCGAGTCAATGGCTATCTCTATGGAGCGATGACTCCAATAATGCCGAAAGGGTTAATGATATTCGATGGCGAAACATACGGCTCGGCATATATGGGGTGTTGGGTTGCGGAGAGGCTATATTTCTGCTCATATCGACCATTACTATGAATTTAGCCACATTAAGAGGCGCTCGGCTTTTACACAACGATATGTTACACCATATATTTAGGGCTCCAATGAGTTTTTTTGGTCAGTGATTACCTGATATTATCACATGAATTGCAACAAATAATGTAAACTGGATTCTTATAGACACAACACCGATGGGTCGGATACTAAATCGTTTCTCACGAGACGTCGATATTTGTGATACAATGCTTGGTATGAATATCCGGATGACAATGATTCAAACATTTCGGGCTATCTCTGCATTTGTCGTAATGGCAATCGAGACCCCACTAGTTCTGGTGGCCATACTTCCCATCGGACTCATATATCTATTTGTTCAGCGCCTATACATTCCCACATCACGACAATTGAGACGAATTGAATCGACCACTCGATCGCCCATTTATATACATTTCTCCGAAACACTTACTGGTGCGACAAGTATTAGGGCTTACGGTTCTGTCGAACAGTTTATCGACGAATCAAATAAAAGAGTAGATTTAAATAATATGAGCACTTTTGCGGCCACTCTTACGAGTTGTTGGCTTTCAATACGTTTAGAGTTCTTAGGCTATTGTATAATATTTGTAAACGCTTTATATGCTGTCATATCCAGAGGTTCACTAACTCCAGGTGTGGCCGGACTTACACTCAGTTATTCAATGACAATCACCCGAACACTCAATAACTTGATTCGCGCCACAACTCTATTGGAGACTAATATTGTTTCGGTTGAACGATGTCTTGAATACACAGAAACTCCTTTAGAGGTATAGCTGTACCAGACATACAATTATATAATTATTAATTTATTGAATACCAAAGGCTTTGTGGCACAAACCTGATGAACAACCACCTCCTGAATGGCCACAAAATGGTTGCATTACTTTTGAAAGCTATAGCACAAGATATAGAGAAGGATTAGATTTGGTGTTAAAAGAGATATCATTTCACATTAATGCTGGCAATAGAGTGGGAGTCGTTGGCCGGACGGGTGCCGGAAAATCATCTCTAACTTTAGCTCTATTTAGACTTATAGAATCAACCAATGGCTTAATAAAGATCGATGGCATTGATATAAGCAAATTAGGTCTCTATGACTTACGATCGCGAATTACAATTATACCTCAGGATCCGGTGCTCTTCACCGGCACTTTACGAATCAATTTGGATCCGTTTGAGAAGCACTCGGACTCTGATATATGGACGGCATTAGAGTTGGCACATCTCAAACAGTTTATTGATTCACTCGATGCCGGACTCAATCATCCCGTGAGCGAAGGCGGAGACAACTTAAGTGTCGGCCAAAAACAACTGATATGTTTGGCGCGGGCGCTGTTACGCAAGTCCAGGATCATTGTCTTGGATGAGGCGACCGCTGCTGTCGATATAGAAACCGATGAATTAATTCAACAGACGATTAGGACTGAGTTTAATGAGTGCACAATTGTTACGATTGCTCACCGATTGAATACAATTCTAGATTACGATAGAGTTCTTGTTCTGAGCAAAGGACAGATTGCCGAATATGACTGCCCACAAGTCCTCCTCAATAATACCAATTCTATCTTCTATTCCATGGCCAGGGATTCCGGACATATATAACCTCACACCAAAATCCACTAAATAACTTGGTCATTTCTTATAATTTATAAGTTATAATACTGTATTAATATAACAAAATATAAATTCAACACATTTTGCTTTTGAATATTAAATTTAAATAATAAATTTTATTGGATTTTAATTGCTTTTATGTTTAGAAAACATTTAATATTTAGAAATGATATTTTACATAATTGTCATGAAAGATAAGAAAATTCTGTCGTATGTATTAATTAAATTTTATAGTATTTAAAATAATAACATTAAAAAAAATTATAAGATATAAAATTAAAAACATGTTAAAAAGATGATAAAAATTGAAGATTTTATAAAATAGATAACACTTAAACATAGAAATCCCACATTTATAGCCATTTCTTACGTTTTGCCTGATCTCGGCATACAATCGGATGCTGTGATCCCTTTTGCGATGAGTTCTCGGATCCAAATTCCTGTTGAGGAAAGTGAAGCCTAATGTGGTGTTTGGCGCTGTCGTCGTCGAGAAAGCCGTCTTTACAAGAAGGGCACCGAAAATATGCGATTCCCAAAAAGTCGTATCTTTTTTTGCATCGTTTGATTTTATGAGCGCTGAGTTCTTGGAATGTCATACTTTGGTCGCACCAATTGCAAGACACCACGTCTTCTGGCT